TGTATTTTCAGGCAGAAGAATCCAGGGGAAATTAAGAAAAGTGAAGATCTGATGCAGTCTTTTTACTACCAGGCAGCTTTACAACCAGGACTATTCAGTACAGCTATTAAGCACCTGTATTTTTCACCATAATGCTACAATGCCTTTTTGCTAGTGCTGTGGTTATAGCAAGAAAATCAGGCTGTCGTGGAATCTTAATTGGAAAAGAATTGAAAATAACTGTACTTGAATACATAACCTAAGTTGTGAGTGTTTAGTTGCCATGGAGATTTGGCAAAGACTTGCAATAGAAACATCTAATCTTCAGAAAAATGCAAAAGGGTACTGGTATACAGGAATACATTCCCTGTAATTTGAAGCAGTTTTGTAGACTGTCCATCATAAGTTGGCATTTCAAAAAGTCAAGGCTGTGACTGATAGGAGACATAGTGATTTAATCCCGTTTGTGAAAAATAAGGAATTGTCACATGCTGCAATGAACAGGAGAGCAATTCTGACACAGCAAAGGCACTGCCAACTGCGACTCCCACCCACCTTCAGGAAAATGTCTCGTTGAGATTCAGCTCCCAACAGCATTCAAGTGGAAGTGATGCTTTTGTAATGAAACTCAAAACCTTTTTAGGTACATTGTGAGTTTCTCTTTGCCTGGATATGTTAGACACTCAAGCCCATGAGAGGAAAACAGATCTTTGTTTTTCTGGCAGAACTCCCATCATACAAGTCACAATGGTAGGCCTGATTTGGGTCCACTGTTGCAGGAGGGTGTCAGCAGCAGCTGGACCAACTGATAGCAGCACAAAGCACTCTGAGGTATGAAGGCACTTCTGAGGATGACCCTTAGTGTGGAAGAACAACTTTCTAGTACAATTGGACAAGTTATTAAGCTTCTTCACCCAGAAACCCTGTCTGTTTCAAAACTGGTCTCAAAATAAAAGGGAAAAAACAAGGCACTTGGTTCATTTGTCAGGGGTGGTTTTACCGTGGGATCAGTAGGAGTGCTGGAAGAGACCATTTCATGCATCTGCTTTCTGAGAAGTAGTGTAAAACTTTTACCTGGAACGGCATGCAAAGAGAAGTAGGTTATAGATGCTGGGGTTGGGTGAGAGAGGTCTAAGTAGCACTTTCCAGGGGAGGACGTTTTTTCCAGGCTGTCAATTTCAAATGAAATGAGACTGATTCCATGGAGCTAACTCACTGAAATGCTTCTAACTGGTTGGGTTCTCTCTGACTAAATAATATCAGACATTATTAGGAACGGCATGGTTCAGTCAGAATAGAGTAATAATATATAATCTGATTCATCACTGATTTGCTCTCATTTTACACTGCTATAAAACTGTTGTGATGTAGGTGTTAGCCCCCCCCCCAGTAAATTATCGCTAAAAAACATCATTGTGGTTGGTGTGTGGTGCTATAAAGGACAGCACTGGCTTAGAGGTAGACCTCTGCTGCAGGTTTAGATCTGGTTTTAGATCTGAACAACAGCAAAGCCTCACATGTTCAGATCTGTGGTTTCAACTTACTGTGGTGTTGATAGCTCTTTGGTTTGTAACTGATCAGACAGGAAAATCCACCCAAGAGACCATGCCTTAAATCTCACCAAGATTAGAATTAACTAAACCTTTGTCTTGTTGGATGGCTTGTCAGCTGCCAAAGTAATACTGTTTTTTGGCTCACATCACAGGCAGGGTCATCATTCCTCCTTTGAACATTACATAGTTCAAAGAGTTGCCGGTGAAGCATGGTGAAAAAGGACTGAAATTATTCAGCATTTCATTATTCAGTGGAATTACTCAAATTAGCCTTGAACCTAATCAGCAAGCATAGAAAACAGTTTCATTTCTTTTTCTTTAAGATTATTCCCTTAAATCAGAGCCACCAGGTGTCTTTAAACATGTGAAAATGACCACTAGAAATACTATTATTATATACATTCTGTGTCTTAACTTCTAAGTTTTCTGATGCATCTTTCCACCGTGTGCTGGAGGAAAGCTGCAATAGCTTTTGTTACAGGAGGCAAGCAAACCAGGTTGCCACTGATATCCCTTCCCCTCTCCATAGGTATACCTCATCTCATTTTTAAGAGCTGTGATGAATGGTCCTTCTTGGGCAGTTGGAGTAACTGGCTCTCAAGTCTCCAGGTTTGAAAGGTAGCATGAAGGGTTCAAATGTGACATATGGGGCTTCACATGCAACACTGTTGTGGCCTTACAGCCCGGCCACAGCTGCTAGCGACAGTGGTGTTGGCAGGTCTGGTCAGACACACCAATCTCCACCTTCCTTCCTCCCAGGAGTGTCCTTTCAGTGTTTGTCGGATCACTTGTTATACTAAAAAACCTGAAAGCTCCAACTCCTGACTTCTTACCAGCCCATAAGCCCAGTGACTCCATAGCCGTGGCAGGGGCCCACCATGAGATCTGTCAAGCCATAGAATGAGTCATAGCAGCAGGAAGCAGAGGGGTAGCTGCTTGCATTGTAGCATTCAGCACCTGGGCAGAGCAGGGCTGGAGAGAACACAACTGCTGAGCCTGCAAAGCCATTCCCAACCAGCTGCACCATGGCACTGATGGCAGGAGTGAAGTATGAGTGCTCCAAGAACAAACGCTTTATAGTGCTCCGTGTAATGCTTTGCCTGTGACACTGCAGGACCTAGATCATTGATCCTAAAATGACAGAAAGGATATGAATGGCAGTTCCTTCCTCAGACATGAATGCTTGCTACAGCTGTGCTCCACAAGGATCAGCTAAGCAGGTTGAGGGAGGTGATCCTCCCCTTCTACTCAGTCCCACTGAGGCTGCATCTGGAGCACTGTGTCCAGTTCTGGGTTCCTCAGTATAAGAAAGACACGGAGCTACTGGAGAGGGTCCAGCAGAGGCCATAAGGATGATTGGGGTCTGGAGCATCTCTCTTATGAGGAGAGGTTGTGGGAGCTGGGCCTGTTTAGCTGAAAGGAGTCTGAGGAGGGATCTCATTAATGCAGATCAATAATCCCAAAGGTGGGTGTCAGGAGGATGGTACCAGACCCTTTCAGTGGTGCTCAGCAAAGGACAAGGAGCAACGGCCATAAACTAAAACACAGGAAGTTTCACCTCAACATGAGGAAGAACTTCTTTACACTGAGGATGTCAGAGCACTGGAACAGGCTGCCCAAGGGGGTTGTGCAGTCTCCCTTCTCTGGAGACATTCAGAACCTGCCTGGACGCATTCCTGTGTAACTTGCTCTGGGTGGCCCTACCTTGGCAGGGGGGTTGGACTGCATGATCTCCAGATGTCCCTTCACTAATGATTCTGTAAGTCCCCTCACCACAGAGCTGGTCAGGGACGTGGCCGAGTGGGTCAGCCACCTTTTGTGCTTGACAGACCCTCACATCCAAGGCGCCCAGCACGGAGCATAGGGCCTTTCGCCGTTCCCCGCCCCAGCAGGCAGGCAGGCAGGCAGGCGGGCAGGCGGGCAGGTGGGCAGGCAGGTAGGCAGGCAGGCAGGTAGGCAGGCAGGTAGGCAGGTAGGCAGGCAGGTAGGCAGGCAGGTAGGCAGGTAGGCAGGCAGGCAGGCAGGCAGGCAGGCAGGTAGGCAGGCAGGTAGGCAGGCAGGCAGGCAGGCAGGCAGGTAGGCAGGCAGGTAGGCAGGCAGGCAGGCAGGCAGGCAGGTAGGCAGGCAGGCAGGCAGGCAGGTAGGCAGGCAGGTAGGCAGGCAGGCAGGCAGGCAGGCAGGCAGGCAGGCAGGTAGGCAGGCAGGCAGGCAGGTAGGCAGGCAGGCAGGCAGGCAGGCAGACAACCGCTGGGATACCAAGCCGTTCCAGGGCACACGGAGCACTCCCCTGCCCAGCACCTGCTGCGGCGGAGCTCGCTCGCCCACCGCTGCCGGCAGGGGGCACTGCTGCCCGCTCTCCCGCCCGCAAGGCGCCGCGTTGCCATGGTGACGGACCGGGCCCGGTCCTGCCGGGCTCAGCCGCCCGGTGCCCGCGGGGAGGGGGGGGGGGGGGCGCAGGTGACGGCATACTGCAGCCCTCAGCCGGGCGCGCTGCGCTCGTTCGTACCCCCCTTTCTCACCCGGCGCCCCAAAGGAAGCCGTAGCTGCCTTCACGCCCCTCCCTGTCCCCCTACACTGTTGCCGGCAATCCTGAGGGCTGGAAGCACCGCCGGTGTGCCGTGTGGGCTCTGGCAGCACCTGCTGCTGTCCCGGGCAGCGCGGGGGCTGTGTGCCCGGGCCTCGGCTGGGCAGCTGGGACCCGGCTGGGGCGTCTCGGGCTGCCGCCGGGTGAGAGGCCGGGGCCGCGGCGGGAGGCTGGGAGCACCCCTCGGTGTGGGGAACCGGCAGTGCTCCTCGCACAGAGCTCAGGAGAGCGTTACCCGAACCGGAGGGGAGAGGTGGATAGGAAAGACGCGGGGCTCGGAGGAGGAGAGGTTCAGAGGGAAGGCGGCAAGAGACAAGTTTTCTCTCAGAAATGAAATAGGCTGTTTTACTTACAACGGGTGTCGTACCTCAGGCACCTCCCTGCGCAGAGAGATCCGCTCACTGAGCGCTTCGTTAAAGCCATGGGTGTCCAGGCCGAGCTCCCCGGCAGCCTGCAGAGGAAGGGGCAGGAGCTGGGACTCGGGGTCTCCCTCTGCCTTCCCCTCCGGCCGCCTGCTCTGCTGCTTCACTACCCGATAGCCCTTCCTGGCCTTGCTGTGGTTCCTTTTGCCGGTGGGGGACACGACGGCCACGATCAACTCATCCTCCCGCAGGGAGATGAAGGGTGACAGCCCATCCAAAGGGTAATACTGCTGGCTCTCCTCCTGGGTCTCCAGCATCTCTTGGGTCTCCGCAAAGTCCACCTGATAGCCTTCCCGGGGGTTGAACTCCACAGGCTGGAAAGTCCCTTCCTTGCTCTGGTTGCTGGGTGGTGGATTCAGCGTTGTAACCATCAGAAGCAAAAAGCCCAGCATCAGCAACAACAAGAGAAATTGCAGCTTACGTGATCCATATCTGCACTTCTTCCTCAAGAACATACTGTTGGTGACAAAATTATACAGATGGTCATGTTAAATATTACTCGGATCTTCCTCAGACTCAGGTCCTCGGGTTGCAGCAGAGCCCTGGTTTTCACTATCTGCCAAGAGGATTTTTTTGCTCCCTTCACATTTCACTGATGCCGTTTCATGCTTTCCTCTCTATTTACAGACAAAATACAGCATTCCTATTAATATTGCACTTACTGAGGTAAAACGTAGCGTGGATCCAGTAAGAAAAAGTAGATCCTTTATGAATAGAGTCCCAGCTTAGTTAGGAAAGCACATGTTTATCTGATGAAAAGAGTAAGTAAAGTTTTGATTTTTTTTCCTTTATAAATTCTAAGTGAAAAGAAATTCCATTTCTTATAGTTTCCTTCCAGAGTAGACCCTGTTTCTTCAAAGTTTGCAGTTGCTGCCTGGATTGAAGCTCCTTATCTCTGAAAGCAGATCTGACAGCTCTCCCCCGTTCAGAGGCTTGAAGTTAACTGTGATCAACAGATGAGAACTAGTCCGTCCCTGACTTTGTTTCACACATAACTACGGCACTCAGTCAGGAAGCACTTTGCCAGACATAATACAGAGCAATGTGTGCGTCTTTCTCTTGGTCCTAATGCCCTCACTGTTCGTGTTCTATCAAATCAAAACTCTGCAAAAGCTGTAAGAGGTGAAATATAAGAAGCAAAATGCTGTATTAAAACAGAAATCAAGGCATACCAGGAATCACTCTGCTTCTGAGTAACTGCATTAAGCTAAGAAAGCTCAGAGCAAGAAGCAAAAATTTTTTTAACTGAATAAAAGATGTAGTGCACATGATTTATTTAAGGTTAGATTTATTCCTATGGTAATGTGCTAGCTGGAGTATATGAGTATATTTCATACTCAATAAATATTTACAGCTGCAAGGATTTTAACACTGATGTAAGAATGCCAAATTATCACCTGGCAGACTGAAGTTGTCTCCTCATCCATAAATCTGGTGTTGCAGGGCAAGCAGCACTTCAAGGTTTTGTTAGTCCAGGAATAACATGTATAAAGCCTGGGCTGGAACAACACCTAGACACTGAAAGAAAACAGTAACTTCTGTGACTAAAAGGGGAACTCAGTCTCTGAGGTCTGTTTGCTAATACTGCTGGCATGGGTGCTAGTGGGCAAGGACAGTGACATTTCTTGCTGCAAGATGGATGCTTGTCCAATGGGGAAAGGGATGAGACAGTCCACATGCTTCAGTGTCACATGCCTCTTGGTCTGGCAGAGATCGGGTATGGATATTAACTCAGGTGTTACCAACCCTTTTGATGCATGGGATGTGGTTTTTTTGCGTATCTTGTAAGATTTGATGAGTAGAAAGCTCCAGCTGTAGGAGGCATGTGATTACTTCAGAACTTCCACATTCACCTTCTGTTCTAAAGTACATTTCTAGACATTACAGGCAAAGGAAAAACCTAAAGAATTTGCAGTATATCCTAAAGGGAACCAAGCATTTGTTCTATTTTCTCTTCTTCCCCATAACTTCCCTGTAAGATGTTCTGTAACTTCAGTCTATGGCTCCTGGTAAACAACTTCCAGAAAAATTAAAAAAGAGAGGACACCTACTTTCAGACTAAAATAAGTCATGCCCTTCAAGAGGAAGAATGGGATAGAGCACCTTAAAATTGCTGAGGGCATGTAGTGTCTCTCATTTCTGTGTGTACTACCCCACCCAATCTTATACAGAACACCTTGAAGTGGTGTGACCAGTCTGTCTTGGCACCTTTCCTACCTCAGCTGTTCTTTAAAAAACGTGATACTGCTTTAATCGTATTTTGGGTAGAAGGAGGATTTAGCAGGTACTTTTCTATTTCACCATTGTGTGTGTCTGCCTTTTTTAGCTAAAATTCACAGAAATGTAACATCCCCACCCACCTTCAGTTCTGAGAATATTACTCTTTATTGTATTCTTCACAGGGAAAAAAAAGTATTGATGTTTTTAATTCAATAGGGGAGCAGCACATTTGCATTTTAAAATATATGAGTTCAAAAGCATTCATTTAAATAACAATATGTGTTAGCCATAGAAAGAGAAAATGAAATGGAAATGAAGAGACCTGTCCAAGGCACTCTGCAAAAAGCTGGCACCGGTGACTTGCAAAAGGTTCAGTTCCACAGAGTCCTATTATCAGGCATGTGGAAAAGAAAATGAAAGAAAAGAAGAAACCTAAGAGCATGTGGAATAAATGGGAGAAAGTATTGCTGGGGTTTTTTCTTTTTTCTTTCTTTTTTTTTTTTTTTTTTTTTTACTTTTTTGGTCCTCCCAAAAGTTTTGTTTTAATTTAATTAATATTTTTGCTCTGGCTAAAGTATTATAACAGCATGCTGTAACAACTCTGATCAAGATAATTCTAGCCTGCACTGGTAACTGCTGTATACATTCTGTCCTGGTATGTTCTGTGTTGCTGAACAAATCCACTTGGGTCAGTTCTGTTTCAGCTACAAGTGAAAAGAGAACAAATTGACAAATTTACAGCAATCTTTCCTACTTTTAGGACAGAGCTGATAGATAAAATTATCACTGAAATGTATACCTGTGGAATCTGGTCTTTGACCATTTTAACAAAGAAGAAATGAGCAGTTACAGAAGATGCTTGGAGGTCAGTTTAGTCAATTGGACATGCAAGTATAAAACACTGAGTGGCACACTTCCAGCAGCACCTATTCCCTGTCCAGCATGTCTGATAGGACATGAGTTGTTTCCAAAATGTACTTGAAGAACAGCTTTGCTTTCTCATCAGCCTGAAAGTCAAGAAGACCATGCCCATGGTACCTTCTTTCTACCTGTGGTTACTAAAATACATACTACAAAGTAGGTCCTTCCCTGGACACAGAGTAGGTTGCTCCTCCTGCCTAGCTGTGGGGGAGTCTCTCCAGGCATCCTAGGACACTTTCCTGTACATCTTCTGATGGAAGAGGAAGGAGCACTGCATGTCCCAAGCTCTACCTTCAGGCCTGGAGCCACCGCCTTCTTCCCCGCTTCCAGTCTCTAAAGTGCTGCTTCATGCAGGTAGCCCATGAAAGAGGCTGCCCGCAAAAGATGTTGTCTTTGGACTGTTGTTCTACAGTAGGAGAGGAACTTGTTACGTACAGGCTGAGACAAATACATTGGTTGAAAAGGCCAGTCTCTGGTGCCAGCATTGACCAGTGCCAATATTGTGTTGTCTTTCCTGCTGGTCAACCCATGCAAGTGTTGGAAGACTGTCTCCTCCCAGTCCTGATCAGGCAGGCCCAGTTGTGGATAGTGTACATGCCTTTAGTAAATACAAAGTCAAGACGTATTGACTACTCCATTCCTTAATGCTTGCTCATGCCTCTGATTGATGAGGAAGAAAATATTAACCACCTTTCACTGCTGCAATTTTTGCTCACTAATGGCCAAGAGCTAGAGCATGAAATCAAATAATTTCAATTTTAAAAGTATTAGGAAACATAGTTGCCTTATCCAGAGTAATAAACCTTCCAGTCACTGAAGTGTAGCTGTTTGTACTTACCCTTTCCTCCCTACCTCATTTTGGCTTGTGTTTTTGTCCAAACCATTCCCCATCACATACTTGTTAAATATTATGTGACATGTTATGTTATCCGTACATGAAGAAACAACACATACTTTCAATGCGCAGAGCCCGTATTTAACTGCCAGGAAAATAACAAAGCAAGAACAAAACCAAGTCTGGATGGAAGAAAGAGTGTGTGGACAGGTTGTTACTTACTCTTTAATAAACATCTTGGATTGATTTACACTTCTATGCCAAAAGCAGATGTGCCACCTTCCATTTAAAGACTCAATACATAGCAGCACTCATGGCTTCATAGCTGCATGTATTACATATGCCACAGCAATTTGTGCATTGTAACAATGGCTTTATTTGCACAGATGTGAAGAAAGTCAGTGCATAAAATGAGACTAATTACATGGAGAGCAGGAACTGTGGTGGCTTTATAACGAAGTTTCTTTCCCCATTTTTCTCAGGATACAATAAGAAATACACATTTTTAGATTATCATAAGATATAATTTGTTTGCAGGTGTTATAGATGTTTTCTGTACTTGGCATTATACCAAATATTGTTAATTCAGTGACAGTTTCTAAGAGCAAGTTAACAATAAATTAGAGCAAGACTCCTTGGAACTTGGTTTTGGAGGCTATTAAAGCTTGATAAAATCTATTAGTCACAGGCAGGGGTTTTGGCACTAACATATTTTATAATATGTTTGCCAAGCTGTCTGTGAAGGAAATGCAGCTGAAATTCCATTTTTATAAAATTTCTGCTCATAAATCACATGGCCAATGTAAAATGGAGCATGGAAGCCACGGACCTTTGCACTGCTTTGCAAAAGCAGTTCTGTAGGCCTGAAGATCAGGAGCACTTGATGGAAAGTAGAGGGAATATATCACAGAAGTGACAGCTTCTGGATTGACTGCACCAAAGCCTTTAGCAGACTCAGAAATTTTAACTTTAAGGGCAGTAGTATGTACTCTGTGCCTGAAACCTACCCTCTAACATAGCCTTAGACAGTTCCCAGGTATTTGTGAGGCATGAGACTTTTCATCATTATTAACCTACCTAGAAATGATATATCTCAAGCACTGTGGGCAATACACATGCCATCACTACTTCCTGTCTCTTATACTCAACTGCTGTTAATATCCTTAAACTGTAGTTATACCTTCAACCCCCAGTACCCCAATCAGGGGTAACCTGAATCCAGCTCTAAACTGGGACTGGTTTGGACTATTTTAGTGTCAACATCCTTTACTAAAAAATTATCCGGTGTTGACCATAAAATCTAACTCACCATTAGAGACAATGGGACAGGTTCTTAACAGGCTCTAAATTCCTGTAGCCGCAGAGCTGGAACTGGAAATAAAGCAGGTTACTCCTTTGGAGTGGCTGGGCTGGCCTTTTTGGCTTTAAAAATGAAACAAATGAGGTAAGGGAAGTTGATCTGTTATGTAATATAAACAACATCAGTAGCATTACTTCAGTGCTAAATTCAGCTCTAGAAGTGAAAGGTCACAGGAATGAAATCCTCCTGCCTGGGGAGCTCTGCTGGTAGAGTTTCACCTGTGCTCAGAAACCTATTTTACTTCCACAGAACAGGCCATGAAACCATTTACAAAGTATCTCTAGAAATCTAGGTTATACTTGAGACACCCATAGCAAAGCCTTTTTTCCCTGCCATGTACTCTTCCTCTGGTGTGTAGCTCTAACTTCACATCTACTCTCTTTCTGCATATACAGGCAATGGCTAAACAGTGTGTGCTTCCCAGAAGCTTTAAATACGGACTGCATTTAAAAGTCCCAATGTTCATACAGAGGGGCTGTTCCCAGAAAATGTAATTTTAGTTGAAATGGTGTTTACGGTAAGTAAAAAGAAAAAGCTTTAAATGTTAGAGTCTCTTGACATACTGATCATTTAGTGACATGCAGAATGTGACTGATTGCATTTATTTCAATGCAATGGTCATCCACATCACTTAAGCCGGAAATCACTTTTTTAATAACAATTTTTATTACCTTTTTTTCTGAAGAGTTATGTATTTGTGAATATTTAATATAGTGAGTAACTGTTCTTCAGATACCTGCTGAGTATTATGGGTTTGATTTATCAAGGAAACTAGCAGACAATATCATAGTTGTGAAAGACCTGATGAGAAAACACTAATGATGGCATGAAAAGCAAACAAGTTCACTGCTGTTGGGGAGGATTAAGAGCTAAGTAAAGCCCAAGTTAAGTCACTGCAGGTGTGCAGCTTAATGAGTGGCATTTGTGTAGCAGGTGAGCATAAATTGAGAGCAGAGAGACCATGTTTGGGAATGCTGTTATGAAGAAAGAGCTGGAGTAAATTATGGGGTTGGTATTTGAGGTAAGGCTGTAGTAGGTATTATTTTTGTGTGTGTTCGTTTTCTAGTATGAAGAAAATACAGACAAAATGAAAGTAGCCTATGTTAATGTAGCAGGTGTGAGAGCTGGACCTATGGCTTCTCTCCATATCTCCTAAACAAGACTTCTCTTCTTTAACACTTTGGTAAGAATGTGGAAAATACTCATCTTTGTAAGCCTGTTATTCTCTTTTTATTAATTTTTCATTTTAAAATTTCAATTTTAAAATACATTACAATTATAAGAATTAACAGTGAAGTGAAGATGCAGTTCAGCTGTGTGTAGGTAAAAATTCACTTCCAAGAATAAAGGGCTGGATTCCTTCTCTCCCTCCCCTGTTGAAATACAGGGAGGGTGGGGAGAAAGGAATGGGTGGGTATTCTATAAAATATGAAGCATTGTATACTGATGTAGGTCTTGGAAATGTTTGTTCAAGTATCCAAAGCAAACCCTGTGCTTTTCTTTACAATTATTTGGGATCACTGACACTTATGTAGAGTGAATAGAAGTTAAAGTAGTATTAAAAAATGAAGGTTGGCTTCATGCCTAAGATATGCTAGATAAACTATGTTTGGCCCAAAGATGCACATATGCACTCCCACTGATATCTGTGAGAGCTGTGTGTGTGGCCTGTGTATTTAAAAGCAGGCTTGATTTTAAAAGAGAAAGAAAGGAAATGTGTAGTGTCTAGAACTCCAGTCTCTGTATATACTACATGTATATGCATAGATATATATGACAATATAAATTTAGAAAATAAAACCAGCCTGGTCTATTCCTGTGGCTCACACATCTATTCACACCTGGATTATCCTACTGTCCTGTGCTGTGTGCTCTGGTTTGTGGCAGGGTGACTAAAGAAATCAGTAAAACAACTGCTGAAGATGCTTCCTTCCTTGCCTTTTTTTCTTTTACACTGGAATAGATAAAAATCTGTTATTCCCACCCCTCTAGCAGTATAGACCTGAATTCTTTACAGCTGACTTAAGTATATGATTCTAATTTATTACTGTACTTTTAAAATTTGCTATCTATATACATTTTATTCAACAATGATGCTCTGGGAAGTTGCTCAGTAATGGCTAGAGCTTAGAACAATTTAAAGGAAATTCTCTAGCAGAAGCAGACTTGCTTCCATGTTGTGATAGTCATCGTGAACCCTGGTTTGTTTTGGATCAGCTGTTTTCCCCTGTCTTAAAATATGAGACAACCTTGATGCAAAGGTTGTTCCAAAGGAACTGGTAAAAAGCAAAATAGTGTCCTTTCTAAAAAATAGCCTTTGAAGGAGGTGAGGCATGAAGCTACAAGGAACACTTGCTATAAGAAAATCCTCCTTGTGCCTGTAGTTTGTAGGAGTTGTCTCTATGATTTTTCTGCCTTTTTTTTCTGTTATTAACAAAAACTTAGGCAGGAATAGGGATTTTAGAAGCTAAGCCAGAATGGAATTCTCATAACAATAGGTTAAATCTCTCAAACTTCTGACTCCTTGGCAGCTTAGGAAAGGGGCAGAGGTAGCAGAAGGTACAGGCTATGGTCACTTCTGACTGTCAAACAAGAAGGAATAGATGCAAGTGGCTTACTTGCTCCAAACCCAAGCAAGTCAGATTGTTAATAGACGCTGATTAATCTTTTTAAAGATATGGCTATGAAAATAACATTTGGTTTGTAATGATCATTTAGGCAGGGATTTCTGGCTGTCAAATGCCAGGAAAACTGGTGTCATTCACCCACCAGACTCTGGATGTACTTTGAGCTGCACAAGAACACAAACTGAGGTATGTGACTATTAGTTCATTTTCTCTGTGTTTATGACTGAAGTGAAAGTTTATTTCTCTTAACTGTTGTATATGGCATAAAACAATAGATTTCTTTTTTTCCCCCTCACTAATTCTTTTCCTCTTCATATGAAGTCTTGAGGGTTTTATTTTTAATGCTTCTAGTTTTTCCTGTTTAGGAGAAAGCCTTTCTAGGCGTAGATGGGATGCTTGGTTTGTGAAGGTGGTTAGCAGATGTGGTCTGAGAAGCCAGCTGGCTGGTTAATACAGAAATTGAAACAAATGATAGAGCTGTTAAAGGGGGAGAAAAAAAGAAAGCTCAGGAGGCAGGCTTGCAGTTAGTAATTTGAACAAAGCCTTTGTTCAAGGTTCTGGAGTGCTTCTCGGAAATCATACTCTTGGCATACATACAGCAGAGCTGTATGTTAATGTATGATAAGCAGGCAGTTTTGGTAGGGAGAGTACTGGTTTTGAAGGTTCGTACCTGGAGATGGCATCTTTTTTGGAAGCGCCTGGTGACTTTAGACTTGTATCATTGTATGGGTACTCAAAGCTGGGCTGTTCTTCTGCTAGAACTAATATTTCTGTCAGCAGCCTCAAAAAAAAACACAACTCATGTGAGTCTTGGGATACTGTTTTGGAAAACAGTGATTCAGAGATTTTGTACCAAAGGGGGAGGAAAATTCTCAGAAGTTAATAAATGGCCCTGTAGGATTCTCAGGCTTTTTCTTATGTAAAGAAAGTTGTCATGCAGGGGAAGAAATCATCACTACAATAAGCTTGTTCAGCCTAGAAAAGAGAAGGCTCAGGGGAAACCCTATATCAGTCTTTCAATAACTAAAAGAGGCCCCAAGAAAGATGAAGAGGGACTCTTTGCAAGGGCCTATAGTGACAGGACAAAGGGGAATGGCCTTAAGATGGCAGAAGGGAGATTTAGATTAGATATTGCGAAGAAATTCTTCACTATGAGGGTGGTGAGACACAGGCACAGGTTGACCAGAGAAGCTGTGTTCAAGACTGGGTTGGACAGGACTTGAAGCAACCTGGCCTAGTGGAACATGTCCCAGCCTGTGGCAAGGGGTTGGAACTGGATGATCTTTAAGGTCCTTCCAACCCAAACCGTTCAGTGATTATATGAGTTGTGGGAGGTTTGTGATTGGGGTCAAAGATGGTGAAAATTTGGCACTGCCAAATCTAAATCCAGACCCAGCAGAACATGGCCTGGTCAAGAGTAGAGATCAGCATCTGACTCTGAACCTGGTCCACTGGATCATCATCTCCATCTCTTAAGATGCAGTATCACTTCTACCTCACAGTAAATCTGCATTCCCACACAGCTGTGTGGGTTATAGAAAGGCTGATCTATAGTCCTGAAGCATCTGAGAAGCCGTACACCAAAAGCTGGAAAACCGGCTTACAATTTTAAGAGGAATCCTTCAAGCCAGAAAGTAAAGTGAGTGTGCATGTTCAGGGGGTGCCATTGGACTTCTGGAAACCATCACTCAGCAGTATATGAGCAAAAATAACAAGTCTTTATAGTGGTTTTAATAAAGTACACTTTATAACAACTTTCATCTTCAAAGAATGAACCAAATTTATTGTTGGTATAAACCAGCTGGGACTGATGAAGATGAAGAAGGGAGTGCAGTTACCCTTTTACTAATCAGGGTCATGGTTTCACAGGACTACCTTGTCAGTAACTATTACAAAATCTGTGAAGCTGCAGTACAAATTTAGCAGCAAAAGGCAAACTGGATCTTATGACTGCAGGCTTAATGGCCATCATTAAGTATAATATATATGCATAGCTGCAATACACTTCTTTTGCCAAGTTTCTGGAAAGATCAGTTAAGTAACTGACTACAGGAGTATAAAATTTATGCTTCATCTAACTAATGACTAATTTTATTCCTACTGCATGCAGTATGAATGTCTATAGATCATATTACATACAAAACTGCACCTCATTCTGTTTCTCGTCCTCTTGCACAGCATCACTTTTGGTGCATTCCTTGACAGTATGGACTCTCTCAAACTTCAAGTTGTGGAACGGGAAACACTGGATATCATATAGGCACCCGAAAAGAAGCAATGCATTTATGCCTGTTAATAAGGCACAGGCCTTTGGAAATAAGAATACAAGCAAGCTGGCCTGTATGTTTTATCAGGGTATGAAGAACATTTCTTCCATGCTGCCTCAGTCATTTTATGGCATGGAAAGGGCACAAGGCCAATAAGTGAGACTAGCTCTATGTTTGTTTTCCCCTTGGCCCTGCATACTGGAAGTGCAAGCTAATGCATTTTGCTTGGCTCCTGCAAAGGAGTTCAAGGATCCCCTCTTTATCTAAGCAAGCTTTGGAAAAATTTGTCTGCATTTTGCTTTCTTAGCAGAAGCTTCACACAGAACTCCATTTGGATTGGTAATGGCTGGCAAACCAATGTGCTGGAATGTCTCAGATTAATCCGTGTTACACCTCTCATCTTTCATTTGGGGGAAAAAAACCAAACAGGAACACTAGCAAAGCAAAGGAATAAATTTAACATTGGGTGCTTAAATACAATGCATAGAACCAAAACCATTTAAGCTAGATGTGAATCTCATTACTGCCAATAATGGGAATAATTCTTTAGGAAAAGTATTGGTCTTGTTTCATTTAACTTGTATGAATTCTTGGTGGAACAGCTGTTGTCCATGTAAAGGTAGCTGGTTAGTGTGGGACTTCATACCATAGAATCATGTAATGAATTGGGTTGGAAGGGACCTTAAAGTGAGGCTCTTTTACAAAGCTGTAAAGGTAACCTAGCAGCTAGACGCAGGTAGAACTGACTGGTGTAAATGCCTGTAGCTCTGAATGCCATTTCCTTCATAAGAGAAAATTCACTGGTGGAATGGGTTTGCAGCCAGAACATCCCTTCTACAAAAAGGCTCAAAATGGTTAGGACATCTCAAGATAGTAGGATGAGAAATTTGTTTCTACTAATCCTTCACTGGTTCTTTGAAATGTGGGCTCACAATGGAGGTCTGAGTGCTGCAGAAAGAGTTTGTGATGCAGTTACCCCACAGCTCAATGTAGCTCTCAACAGCTACAAAAAATTACTTGTTCTCCAGAAGTTTTAATATTTACTTGCTGTCTGATGTATTTTTTTAAACTTTTCCATGGATGAAAGTGATGTTCATAAGGAGTCTGTATCCTTATGGACTAGGATCTGGATTAGAAGAAGGTTCTAGATGTGTTAAAAGAACCCAAGGGCCTATTACACTCCATTAGTCTCTGGGACATGCTCTGCTATTTGTTATGTGATCTTCCGGTCTCCTGAGGAACGTTGGCTGTGTTGCTCATGGATAAAGTCCATCTGTGCCATGCACTGC